TATTTTATTAATTATATGTATTTTATATTATTTCAAAATAAATCAAATATAAAATCATATAAAAATAAAAGAAGAATCATATATTTATGTTTAAATTAGGTATAGAGATTTTAGGAATTTAGTAATTAATTGAATGTAATCAAGGATATAAATCGTTTAGGACAATATCTTCTCAAAAAAAATTTAGTAGGAATTAGAATTGTAAGTAAGAAATAGTTCAAGGACTTTTGGCCAAAAACTCTTCCAAAAATGTATATGTAGATATATTTTATATACTGTATCAGTTCTTCTTAAAATATTTTTAAAATGATCAAGAACTACCAAATATAATTAAATTATAATTTTATTGCTTTGCCTTAGAATAATTTATTGAATAAACAACTCACCCGGAAAACATAATTTAAAAAACCAAAATATATTAATAAAAAAAATATATATATACATATGATTTAAAAATTCTGGTATTTTCTTGGCGATGTTATGAATATTCTCACGAGAGGATGTTATGCAAAAATGAATACAAAATAAATCATACTGGTATTTAAAAATAAATAAAAACAAAAAAATATCCCCACACCGCTTTTCAATTAAAATCTTCCGTCACCATTGTTGTCATCTTCTTCTCTCCATTAAATTTTGATTCTCTTACGGCATCTTTACCTTTTCCTATTTCAATTTCCTCTGCATGCTTCTCAATTCTATCTGACGCCTTTCTTCTGACTTTTTTCGAAGCTGTTTCGTCAAACGCTTTCAAAATAACGATTTTAGATTCTGGAGGCATTAGTACGGTGACGGAGAACGGTGGCAGAGAGTTGCGGATCTTGATAGTGTTTCGAGGGTTTAGAAATTAGTAGATTTGTGTGTTTGATGATGTGATGAGAGGTAAAACTAAATAGTATTATATATATAGGTACGGGACGATTATGTCAATAATCTTTGGATGGTCAAGGAAAATTTATTTGCAATCATAACTAAATTAGAATCAAATCTATGTAATGAGATTATTTTAGGAATATGATATAATTCTGATTTTTAAAAGTAGTAAATACTTTCTTTAAAATTGTTGGTATGAATATTTGTGTAGAAAATAATTAAGTATTGTGTAGATTTTGTCGAGAATTTTGGGAAATATTTGGAAATATTTTTGAATTGAAAATCTTAACTTAAATGGAGAAGAAATGAGCATTATTGAGATATGATGGAAGATTGTATCTCCATTTTTTGGAAAATTGTTGGCTAAAGATTTTGATTGTAATATCTTAATTTACATTAAAAAAATCCAAATAATAAATGCCAATGGCATGGTCTCGTGAATAAGTTGGAAGTCTAGGATTTATTTCATATTTGTACTTCAAAAATGTATATATAGACTAGATTTTAACCCGCGGTACACCGCGGGGCTATATTACTAAAAAAAAAGTTTGACAATTAATTTTTTTGAAGATTATCTATAGATAGAATCTATAGTTTTGTTTGACTAAATGTATTTATATATGTATATATTATATATATTACCCCGCGGTACACCTCTGATCGATTTTTTATAACTAAATTTTTTTAATTTTAAGTTGTATTTGTTTTGTTAATATTGTATGTTTTATTTAGTGTTTAAGATTATATAATTGTATTTGATTGTTAATTCTAGGATTTCATCCGTAGTATACCGTCCCGATTAATATCGATCCCAACCCGTTCCACCTTATAACTCCGTCCCGTGAAATTAAACATCATTTTGTTATATTTCGCTTAATTAATATTTTTATTTTAAAAACATATAATTCAAATCAATTTAAAAGTTTACTTTAAAAAACATAAATTTGTAATGTTTTTATTATGATAAAGTAATAATATACAGATGTTGTTTACTAAAGTTATAATTAAAACCAACTAAAATCTAAGTTTATGGTAGATTATGAATTATAGTTACGACAAAAACAAATTTAATCAAATATAATTAGTGTGAATTAAGAAAACAAACATAAATAATATTACTTATTTTGTTTAGTGTTTAAGATTTTATAATTATATTTTGATTGATAATTTTAAGATTTCACATGTGATATGCCATCCCGTATTAATATCGACCCAAACCCGTCCCAGTATATAACCCCGTCCTGTAAAATTAAAACTTAATTTGTTATATTTTAATGTTGTTTTTTTTTCTTCTAAATTTATGATATTGTAGTATATAAAACCAATTGATTGATCTGCGGTACACGGTGGCTTGATTTTTTTTTTAAAAATTGTAGTTTATAAATTTATGATATTGTAGTATATAAAACAGATATATTGTATATGATTTTTAATAAGATGTACAATATAATCTCCATAAATTAATACTCGGTAAATTAATACCTCGATAAATTAATTTTTTTTTCGGTCCCAAATTTAGTTTTCAAGTTAATTAGTATATCGATAAATTAATAACTCGATAAATTAGTAAAATATTATAGTTCTAATTGTATTAGTTTATAAAGGTTTTACTGTAGGTTTTATAATTAAAGTGTAGTATTATTTAGTTTTTATATGGGTAAATATGTTTTACTAATGAAATACATGTTATTAAGTTACTATCCCAAAGGCAAAAAGTTTTTTTTAATAATCAAGGCAAATATTAGAATTTTATTTGAACAACTAATTTGTCAAAGCAAAACGAAATACAACAAAACTAAAATTAAATGTATAAAAAATATTAAAAAATTTAGAAAGACAAAGTGGTCGTATATTTGGTAATTAAAGGTCATAGATTATCTTCATTCTTCTTTGGAAAAAATAAACAGAGACAAAATCATCTTCAATCTCCCATATCTTAACATTTTCTTCTCCTAGAGTTTTCGATTATGAGATTACACCATATAATTGAAAAATTGTGGTGACGATCAAGTAAATAAGCAGAGAGAAAGAGAGATCGAGATCGTCAGCAAAAGCCGCCGCCATATTTTGACCCTTAACCGTCGCCGCCTCCCGCCTAACCTTCCGCCAGGAATTGCAGCACCGGAGATGCCGTCGATCAATCAGACTCATGAGATAGAGGACATTATGGCTTGCGTGACGGCTTTGGAAGCTGCTCTGTTGCCATTTTTACCCGCTGGAGAGCGTCAAGTCATCGACGGCTCTTGTCATCCTTTATAGAGATCTGATGATTTGTGGATTGGTAAACGCAAATTGCGTATACTCTGATGATTTTTTCTACATTCATTGACAGGCTATATATAGAGATACTTGATGTCAAGGTTAGGTGTGATTGCGAATCAAGAAAAAATTGGTAAGCAAACATAAAATCTCCGAAATATCAACTATATTAAGTAATACAAATGATTTAGTATTTTGATAAGGAATATGCTACTAATAAGGAGTGTTAGTGTAGTAATTAGTTATTATATCCTTTATTTTCTCGATCTCTATAGCTAGCAAATGGAGAAAATCTTGATTGAATTTAGATTACATGTATTTTGATTAGAATTAAAATAAAAGATTTAGTATTTAGATAAGGAATATGCTACTAAGAAAGAATGTTAGTGTACTTATTAGTTTCTATGCCCAATATTTTCAAGATCACGTTCGCTATTAGGAATATTTTTGAGGGAGTTCAGTTGGGATTCACAACTAATAATCGAGATTTAGAAACTAATTAATGTCGATTTTGATTTAATGTTGTAAGAGGAAATTTCGGAAATATCCGATTGAAAAAACCGGGTCAAACGTTATAAAAAAAATCGACCCAACCAATGGCATTCTTTGTAAATACTTAGCAACTCTAGGATTTATTTGCTAAGTGTACTCCAAAAATGTATATATAGATGTGTCTATGATTCGATGAAAGATAAAGTTTTTTTATGGGTATCTTAAACGAGAACTGATTCTAGACATATTAAAATAATGGGTTTTGCGGAAAAAAAAAAACCCTCAAACTCGCCAATTTTTGCAACTTTATCCTCATCTCCAAAAAATGCAGATTAATCTTTTTTCAACACCGTCAAGTTTCTAAAATTTTGACAAATAATATGTCAAATCGAAACCCTCACGACGAATAATTAAACTCTACCTTTAGAATTTTAAAAATCTAATGTATGTGACCGTGAAAACGTTTACAATATACGTATAAGAGTTATATTGCGTATTATTTTTGATTTCGTAGGATTAATTTGCATTTTCTGGAGGTTAAAGATAAAATTGCAAAAATTGGCGAGAAAAAATAAAACATACTACTTTTGATTTATTTTAATATGATTTTTTAAACTAGAAACCCCCTATAAAAGATGCATTTACACAAAAAAATGTTTTTTCTCCTTTCCATTACTATTGAAGTTTTATTTGCATCCTTTGTTTCCCTAGTTGCCGTAAACTCCAATAAATGATTTCATATTGATGCACAAAAATTTTCAAAGGAGCATGCGGGAAATTTGGGGGAAAACGGTCTATTTCCCCACGAGAAGTATGCTTATCACGCCAGATAGAGCCCGTTCTTTGACCTCGGTCTATATGTCCCCAAAAAATAGTTTTCAACTTATATCCCCATAAATTCATAGGTTGAATCCTATTTCTCCCTAAAATAAAAGTTTTCATCTTATTTACACACAAACATTGGTTTTGTTTGGTTTACTGTCTGCTTACCAAACTAACGAAAATACTAAACCGGATTAAACCTAATCTAAACCAATTCTGATCCAATTACAACTAATTGAACCCGACCCAAGCAAACCCACCCAACCCAACATCCTTCTTCACCCGTAACATACCAATTCTTCTTCTTTCTCTCCCGTAATCTCTCTATGTTCATCTTCTAGCTTCACTCGCTCTCTTCTCCATAGCTTAACCTTCCTTCAAAAGCTGTACTTATGAAACCTAATTTATTTCTCTCCACTTCCATGGATTTTCTTAGATCGGCGAATCCTATTTCCAGTTTTTTTTTAATGTATTTAAATCCTTTAGATCTGAAATTTTTGCTTTGTGTTCACCATTTCTCTACAAAATTGATGGATCTATTCTCTAAATTTTGATTACCAAACGTTTCAGTTGGTGAAAGAGATCAAACCACCGTTATTTTATAAATCGATTTATCTGGGTTAGAAATCGATCTGAAATCGAATCATAGACACAAATATATGACCGTAATTAACAAATTGAATCAACCCAAAGGTAGATCTTGATGATTCAAATCAAAATCTAAAGCAAATTCTCTACTTTTAAAACAATCAAGACCAAATTCAATCGAATTAAAACAACGAGAGCATATCCATCACCACCATCTGACCTGTAATCAAATTCGATTCTTCTAGAATCATTGCTAAACTCATTTTTCTTTCCCATGGTATAAGTTTCTCTAACGATCTGATCTTGTTTGAGATAATCTTACGTTTGTTGAGACCGCCGTCGTTTGTGTGGGACGAAGACGCCGTCGGAGATCCGGAGGTTGTTGAAGAAGAAGACGAGTGAAGAAGGTGGAGATTCAGCGGTCATGGCGGGGACGCTAATTGAGGTTTTCTCTGGTTTACCGAATATAGAAGAGCTGGTTCTTGACGTAGGGAAGGATGTGAAGTGAAGCATAGTGGCCATGGCGTAGCTTTATAGACATAGAATTTTAAATGCAAGAAGCTAAGAACATTGAAGCTAGGACAGTTCCAAGGTGTTTGCTCTACTACAGAATAGAGGAGGTTCGACGGCGTGGCTCTATGTGGAGGATTGCAGTCGTTGTCGATTAAGAATTCCGGCGAGGATGTTGTAAGTTGATTACCATCGAATTTGATTACCATCGAATTTGATTATTGGTTAATTACAATGGATTTCTCCAATGAGCTTTTGTAATTTTGATATCAAATTTATCAAAATCGTTTGGTTGTTTGAAGAATCGGGTGAAGAAGAAGATGATATCGGACCATTTACGGGTGGGTCATATTTTAATTCAGTTTAGAATCAAATTTTAGTGGTTTGGTATTCGGTTTACTTTGGGTTTGAAGCGCTAACCGATATAACCCAGATTCGGGGACATTTAGCTAATAGAACTTTCGATTCGGAGGGAAATAGGAATAGAACTTTTATTTCATGGAGATATGGACCGAGGTCAAAGAATGGGCTCTATCTGATATGATACGATACTTCTCGTGGGGAAATAGACCGTTTTTCCGAAATTTGGAAACAAAGAGTGCAAACAAGACATTAATAGGGATGGATCGTCGGAGTCGGTTTATTTGGGAGAATTGCTTTCATCATTTTACAAAAATAAAAAGGATTGCTTTTATCTGTTTTGGTATAAAAGTACTGTATATGTGATATTTAAACCTTTAAATCTGTAATTGTGCTTAAATAGTCCTAAATTCTTACGTAACAACGAACAGACATGAACTAGGTAGCTAGAAGTTCTTCAAAGCTAACAAAAAAAAAGCACTAAATGATTATAAGAAATTTATCAAATTACAAATACACTACTTGGGATTTAATAACAAGTCTCCAAGCATGCTTTGCATCTAGAGGACTTTAACAAATCCATGTATATCTCCATATTCAAAAAAAGTTCAGCAAACTTCTCATTTGATGTACCCAAACGTTATTTTTCTTGAATTTAATTTAACATTATATTTATATAAAAAATAGTGAATTAGACAAATTTATTAGAAGATGACTAGCTAAGAGATGATAAAATTCAATTAAGAGGAGGAATATATAAAGAGAAACTCTTTTATGTAGAAAAAATTAGCACAACAAAAGAGATATCGGAAAACATGTAGACTATTTTAGGTACTGAAAAAACAAATTAAAGGTACTCAAATTTCAAATAATTTTATGACATGCCAAGTGCCAACACCATAAACTTTTATAGTTTACATAAGCAAATAGATATTTCAACCTCATATCTAAGCAATTGCATTGAGATATTTAATTTCTTCTACTCATATCATAGTATTCTATCCATAAATGCATACCTCGTATTTCCGTTTTCGCCGCTTGACCCATTTAACATTTCTTCTAGGAAACCATATTTTTAAAAAACATGCGGAGAAAACAGAAACAGTGAGTGTATAAAACGACTTCTATTAGAATGACAAGTGTCTTTTCCAAATTTCATTTTCAAATTTATTTAAGAAAATAAATTTTCACAAAGTAAAATTAATATGAAAATGATTGTCGATTATTTAAACAGTTTTCTACACAAGTAAATCGTAAAATTAAAAAAAATGAATGATTTTTAATATATATATATATATAATATATATATTGTACCATTTAAGACAATAATGGCAACCACTCTCAAACCTGATATTTTCATAGGGTTGTGAAAAGAACCAATCGACCACTAACACGAGTACAATTAGCCCTCTTCTTCTTAACAACTTACTCCTTAATGAACAAAAGAAAATGTCTCTCTTTTTTTTTGTGCACAAGAAAAGGTTTGTTTTCTTTCCATTACTATTAGAGTTTTATTTGCATTCCTTGTTTCCATTGTTTGCGTATGCTCCTATGAAAGGATTTTATATCGATGCACAAAAATTTCTAAGGAGCATGCGGAAATAACGGAAACAAAGTGTGCAAACAAGACTTTAATAGGAATGGATCGGTTACCTTTTGGTTACATATTAGTTGTTTAATGGTTTAACCTTTAAATCAGTATTTATTCTTAAATATTGCTAATTTTCTTTCTTTTTGATAAAGGTTTTACTATTGAAATTATTCCTAGAAATTTTACGTAACAAAAAACTGCATGAATTAGCTAGCTGGTATTTATTTTTATTATTTTTTTTGTTGATAGCTAGCTGCTAGTTGTTCAATGCCCGTAATTAGAAAATTATCAAATTCTACAAAAGTTGAAAGTGCATCACATTTATAAAACAGTGAAAAAGATATACTCAATAGAAGATGATAGAATACCTCAAAAATGAGGTATTAATAGTTAAAGAGAACTCTTTTAATATAAAAAGTTACACATAAAATATGTCTTTATTTGTTAATTGTTTCGATGCAAATGCAATGCAAGTTGTATTTATGTCATTATGTATATATATACACAATTTCGCTGCGCATTAACACATAAAAATTGTGTGTGTGTGTATTTACGTGTAAAATGCTGACAAAATTAAACATTTAATGCATGTGTGCAGTTGCGTTGCAGACTTGTGCAGCCAAGAAAATATATGAAATTAATATTTTATTTTAGACAATGATTCGGATCTGTAATACGTAATTACGTATAGTGAAGGAATGGCATTTTTTTTTGTTGCCAGCACCGGAATGGCATTTTGTATTGTAATTATGCAACAAAAAATGTATTAATAAAAAAGAAATTGCATAATGTTTATCAAAAAACAAAAACGCATGATTTATGTTATTGTCTAAATTTTTTTAAGTAAAACGTCATTAAATAAGTAAGTATAGTAACTTCAGTATGTATTTTCCATTTTGCCAGTTTTTTTTTTATATTATACATGAGGGGAAAGTATTTTAAGCACCTGAATTATAATATTACAAAAAAATCTTACAGAATATTTATTGAGAAAATTAACACTTATGCCACATTTACGCCGATCTTTTTTTCTTTTACCACATTGCAAGCCTATTTATCACTCATACCACAATTGTCATGTGTAATGATCATTTTGCCCTCTAACATAGGAGACCAAAACCTGTAGTTGATAGGCCGAGGCAAATAAACCGAACCGAATACATCGAACCGAAACAGAAGCAAAAAAAATCGAACCGAACTGAACCGAAAATTTGAAAATAACCGAATGGATACTAAATTTTATAACCAAAATAACCGTAACCAAATCAGTACCGAACCAAAATATTTCGGATAACCGAAATACCCGAAATACAATTATATTTTCAAAATAATTAGTTATTTATAGACCAAATAATTAAAATACTTGAAAAATATATAAAAATAGTAAAAATACTCGAAAATAACCGAAATATATCCGAAAATACTCAAAAATAACTGAAATATCCGAAAACATCCAAAGCAAAATAACCGAATGGATACTAAATTTTAAAACCGAAAGAACCGGAACCGAACCGAAACCGAACCGAAATTTCAAAATATCCGAATGAATACTAAATTTTATAACCGAAAGAACCGAAACCGAATGGATCCAACCGATAACCGAACGGATAACCGAAAGCCCATGCCTAGTAGTTGATGTGACTTTTCTGCCTTCCTTTGTTTCTCTCTACATTGGTAAGTGCAATTTTCTCTTTCTTTAATTGTTGTCACATTTTTCTTTTCTTTATTTATTTCTTTCACTTTCACTTTTATCTCTCTCTTTCACTTTTATCTCTTGCTTTGTCTAGTTCTCTCTCACTTACAACCATAACTTTTTTTTTCATATGAAGATTCTTGGTTGTTGTCTAGATCTTGTCCCCGATTGGAAATTCTCTTTTGCGTTCAGATCTTGTCCCCGATTTTCATCATCTTGCTCTATTATCATAAATCCTACATTTTGTCTACCAATTGTTCTCGTATAAAGGTTTTGAATTTTATTTAGATTTTTCGGCATCTATTTTGGTCCACAGATTAATCGAACACTATTGTCCTCACCTACCCGGATTATTGAACTTTTTGTTTCCTTATATTGCGGAATAACAGAAAGATCAAGTTGTCCCTGAGTAAATTCAGATCTCTGGCTGATAAACTACATTATTTGGCGATTTGGCGATGGACAATCAATAGATCTAGTTGTCCCCGAGTTTAACCCATATCATCTCTCCAAACGTTTTTATTAATTAATTATTTGCTTTGACCTAGTAATTAATGATGTAGCTTCTTTGTCTGACACAGAATTGACGCAAGAAAAGGGCAAATTCGTTTATATTCTACCACACTACCACATACAAGTGATACAAGAGATAAACAATTATGCATTGTGGTACAGAGGGGAAAGAGATTTTTGCATTGTGGTACAAGTGACTAAATTCCCATATTTATATATTTCACAATTTTCCAAATTGGATTAACAGAAATAAAAATGCTTAGAAAATCTGTCCAAACGTGATTAAAGCAAATACCACAGAGTTTTCCCTTATTTGGGCTTAGAACCTTCTTTTCCTGATAGAGTCTTTCACTTAGTAGGAAAGAGAACTTGTGGCTGGATTAAACCTTATCCCTTAGTCTAAAACTCGGCGTTTTCTATCATTTTAACCTTTTCTCACTATAATCTTCAAGGCGGCTAGGGTTTGTGCAATCAGTTCTTGGTGTTTCTTCAGTCTTTCCCAGAATTCTTGTTTGCTACTGAAGGCTGTGGTCAGTTTACGGGTTGTAGCGAAGTTTGCTCCGTTGCTATCGTTCTTCGCGTCCTCTGTTCAGTTCTAGAATTAGTGTTTGGCTCGCTATCGTTCAATTTGTTCTTGAAGATCTCTTGTTTCGGTGTGTAAGATGTCTGCTGCGATGGATAAGGCCTTAATGGCAATGTCTTTGGAGGAAGAGGATCTCCCTTTTGAGATGCCAGATCTTCCTCAGCTGAGTTCGTGTGAAAGAAACGTCCTGAGCTTGGTTGGGCGTCTGCTCAATCCGGCTAATCAAAGTATGTCCAATCTGATCCTGAATATGCCCCGGAAGTGGCAAAAAGTGGGAAGAGTCCGTGGGATAGCATTATCCAACGAAAGATTCCAGTTTATCTTTCGTCATGAGCACGACCTTGTGGAGATCCTTGAAAAAGGAGTTCAATCCTTCAACGAGTGGACTATGGCGGTGGAGAGATGGACAGAGCACCCTTCTCCGGAATCTCTACAGTTTATTGAGTTATGGGTCCAGATTCGCAATATTCCAATAAATTACTACACTGAAGGATCTATTACCTTGCTGGGAGAGTTGGTCGGTCAAGTAATTGAAGCTGTTGTGGTCCCGGATAAGCCACAAAACCAAGACTTTGTTCGTATGAAAGTCAAGTTTGATGTGTCAAGACCTTTGAGGAAGTCAAAGGTTATTAATCTTCCTGGAGGTGAGTCCACCACAGTCTACTACCATTATGAAAGAATTCAAAAAAGATGTTATCATTGTCAGAGGTTAACACATGAGCGTGATCTTTGTCCGCTTCTCATCAAGCAAAGATTGGATCAAACCATTGATAGAAGACTTGGAAAAAAGATTGAAAAGCCAAAACCTCCTCTGGTCATAAAGGAGAATGATCCTTTATTTGGGGTGCTGTCGGAAGCCCAGGTTGGGATTCATCCAGTGTTGGGGAGACCTCGCATTGCTCATGATGTTTTAGAGGGAATGAGACAATACTTGTTGGCTGGAAAGGAGGAAGAACGCAAACTGAAAGAAGAAAGAGTGAAATCATCAGTTGCTGAGACAGAGAAGGATCCCTTCTTGCAAAAAACAATATTGAGGATGGAACCCCCTCCAATCATATCCACAGACATTAATAAAGGTAAAGGTATCGTCTTTGGGTATGACTCCTCCGATTCCTCAGCAAATCTAGATCTTGTCGGTCCTTTTGAAGAGTGTTTGATGGCTGCGGAGATGAATGCTAATCATAATGTCTCAGTCAACCTGTGGAGTGGAGCTGGTGGAAATGGAGGAGATTTTAATCAGATGAGTCTCTTTTCAGTTCCAATTCAGTCTAGTCCGACGGTTTTTAGAGTCGGTTCTTCGGAACCTGGTTCTTCCGGGACTTTGACTAAAAAGACTCCTGCTAGAAAAAGACCAACCAAGAACCAGAGAAAAGGGAAGGATGTGGCGGCTTCAGTTTTAGAGAAAGGAAAAGCTGCAGCAGTTGTTGAGAAGAAACCGGGCTTAGCAAAAGGTGTGGCTGCCAAGAGAAAAGCGGGTAAAGTTATTGTTGGTGAAGCAAAAGCTGTGAGGCTCAGCACAAATGAGGTAGTCCCAAGTGGGGGACTGTCCCCAATCTAATGAGCATAATGAGTTGGAATTGTCAGGGTTTGGGGCGGCCTCAAGACTTGACGATTCCTCGGCTCATGGAAATGCGTAAAAAACATTTCCCTGACCTTTTGTTCTTGATGGAGACGATGAATGTAAAGAATGTGATTGTAGATATTCAAGTTTGGCTAGGTTATGACAGTGTATATACGGTGGAACCGGTTGGCAAGTGTGGTGGACTTGCTCTGTTTTGGAAAAAAGATGTATAAGTGGAGGTGTTGTTCGCTGACAAGAATGTTTTGGATTTGCAAGTGGAGATTGGTCCCTCCAAGTTTTTTGCTTCTTGTATTTATGGTAACCCCAATAGTGATCTCAGACATCTTGTGTGGGAAAGAATCACTAGGCTGGGGATACAAAGGAAGCAGTGCTGGTGTTTAATTGGTGATTTCAATGAGATACTCCATAATGGTGAAAAGCTAGGTGGTCCTAGAAGGAGTGAATCATCTTTTGTGGATTTTGCTGAAATGTTAAAGGCTTGTGATATGAGTGAATTGTCTAGCACAGGGAATGGTTTCACTTGGGGTGGAAGAAGACATGACCTTTGGATTCAGTGTAGATTGGACAGGTGTTTTGGTAACAAAGAGTGGTTCTTGTCTTTCCCTGCCTCCAATCAAGCTTTTTTGGAAAAGAAAGGGTCTGATCATAGACTAGTCCGGGTGCAGTTTTTTTCTTCACAAGAAAGGTACAGAGGCTCTTTTAGATTTGACAAGCGGATGTTGCATAAGCCCCTAGTTCTGCAGGCAATCAAAGAGGCGTGGACTACACAGGTCCTTCCCTATGATCAGTCTGTTTCTCAAAGATTAAGAAGGTGCCGTAAGTCCTTGAGTTTTTGGAAAAAAGAGAATGAATCCAATTCTTCAGAAAAGATCCACAGGATTCAGAGAGATATTGAGGTTGAGCATGCTACTCTTCACCCTTCCTTCTCTAAAATGGCCTTCCTGCATAGAGAGTTAGTATCAGCCCACAGAGAGGAAGAGAGCTTTTGGAAGCAAAAAAGCCAAGCAAAGTGGATGAATTCGGGAGACAAGAATACCAAGTACTTTCATGCCTCTGTAAAGGCTGAGAGATCTAGAAATGGC